TATATATAAGAGTATGGCGTGATGCAACAACTGGCATTGTGCATAACAATTACATTTTTTATATTTATTCATAATTTGTATTTTCAAGTTTATGGTGTATGATCAAACTATAATTATACACTTATGCATAATCTGTCATTTGTATGAAATTGGTGTATTATATAAAATCGGAATTGTTTGATTATTTTGTGTTGTGTATATAGGCTGTATGCTGCTGTTTGTAGATGTATTGTGTTGTATGCAAGTGGGGTCACCTCCTGTTTGTGGAGGACGGTGATAAAATATAGGATCCTGATGAAAGTCTGATGAAATTGGACGCGTCCGGACGGGTTAACATGGGAATCGGCGGCCCCCCGTGTTCGCAACCTGATGAAATTGATTAAATGATGTTTTTGAATGATATTGAGAAAAATGAATAAGAGAAGATGTAAAATAAAATATTGGAGGGAACTGGGGTCAATGTGAGATTAGACCGGTCGGCCAGATATGGGTGGAGGATTGGCTCCCCGGGTGCACATGTGGTGTGGAGAAGGGATGGCTGTTTTGAGAAGGCACGGTGCTCGTCGGGGTTTAAGGTGACGATTGACTAATTTCCCCACCGTGATGTATTATTTGAAGGTGATTATTTTTGTGGGTGCTGAGGTGTGATAAGTCATATGGTTGACTGTTGTGTGTCTCATTTCAGTTATAGAGTAGGGTGCATTTTGGCTTGACTGTATTGTGGTGTGTATTATTTATTATTTAATTACAGCTGAAGTTGCAAAACTCAACCCCTTCTCTCAACCTCCCAGGTACTAGGAAGCAGTTGTCGAACTGAAGCCTATCTGCATCTTCTCCCAGAGTTATAAATGTAACTTATATTCCTTGAATATTTATATTTTGTAATGTATAGGAATTATTCTTTATCAGATTTTTTTTTTGGACATTCCGCAGTTATATAACGGGCTGTGTATTTAAAATTGGATGTCCTTATTGTTTAGCACTGACGCTATAACATTAATTATTTGTTGTAATTAACTGTAGGTTTAAACTAGTAAGGGGCCGTTATTGTATATTATGAAAGTTTATTGTGAATAGGTTCCCTGGTTAAATTTTATGTGTTATTTTGATAATTGTGTTCCAAGATAGTTTTTGTATAATGGTTATAGAAACTTATATCTTAGAGTCATATGGGGCTTATGTTTTTGTGAAATTAGGAATCCTATGTAGACAGATTGAATAATTTTAGGTTAATACTGGCCTCCGTGGGGGCCTTAAGCTTACTTGGGTTCCCGTAGTGCTCGGTCGCGGCCAGGGGCCTTAAGCTTACCTGGGCCCTAGTGCCGGTCCGGCCCACGGAAATGGGTCGTGACACTTAGCTTCCTCATCAGTAAGTTCTCTTGACCATGACACTCTCCCTGCAAATCTAGCTCCTGGCCTTGTGCACTTGTATTGCCCATAGAACACCGTCCTGCCAATTCCAAATAAGTTAAAACAAACTGAAAATGCCAATAGAGAAGGGAAAGGAAACTTTAGGGTTAGGTAATTAGATGCTATAAACTAAATAAAAAGCTAACGCAAATAGATGCAGTAATGTATATGGCTACGTTAGGTGGACTGGTTTTCCTGTGCAGTCTTTTTAGGTGCATTACGAGTAGATTTTGCAGTAGTAAAGATTAAACAAGGAAGAAGACATATGAACATGGTCCGCGTCTCGCTTCCAAATTGTAACCGCCCCTTTTTCTTGATTTGCAATTTTGTTGAGCGATTCTTTTATAGTCTCAATCATGGATTTTTTTTGCTTACAAAGAAAGGAGTCAGATTTTTTTGCTTCAATAAAGGAGTCAACTTAATTATGACTACATTTTTAAACATTTTAGGTTCAGCTAGGTTTTTGTCTTGGGGGGTTTCCCCCATTTTCCCTCTAATATTGCAAAACGCAAAGAATATTATATTTAAAATTGCATTTTTGGAAATATGCAGAAAAATATGAAATGTGCTTGAGACTGTTTTTGCCGTTTTTTTAATCTCTCCATTTTACCATGAATCCCTAATAACTCTATGAGACATAATTGTGTGAAAATTGCTGGCTCAGGTTTTATTTTTTATAATGAGCTGAAAACAGGTGGACACCCTCCTTATCTTTGCTTTTGTTATTGACGCATAATTTTGGAATTATCTTTGCTTTTGTATTGACGCCATATTTTGGAATGTATTTCTGATTCTAAGCACTAAACTATTTCACTAGGCATAGCCACGGTTCATTTTGAACCGGAATCGAACTGTATTGTAGATAAATTGAAATCAGATCGGAACTGTCGTTTAAAGTTTTGAACCGGAACCGGCAGTTCAAGGGCCGGTTAAGGTTCATGTAAATGTTAAAATCTGAACCTGAACTGGCATGAACCGACGGTTAACCGGCAATTCCAGTCCAGTTCGAACCAAAAATTTTCTATTTTTATTTTCAAAATGATAATCACTTAGCCTATTTTATACATCTGTAAAAGTCTCAATAATATTTTACTGCATGATATATACTGCAATGATATACTATGTTCTTTAAGAAATAACTTTAAAAAAAAAATATAGTTTTACTTTAAAAGTTAAAAAATCAAAAAGTAAATAATGGTGAAAAAAGAGAGAAATAAATTAGTCCCTATAATTTATATTTTTTTAACTTTTTTTTACCGTCTTGTAAAATTATGTTGACGTAAGTTTTAAAAATTACATTCCTTTGAAAGCAATTTTCAAAATTTTCCTTAATAATTTAATGGTAGGATTAATAACATTTAAACAATGAATAATTTATTTAATTAATAACATTTAAACAAAATAAAGTGATAATTTATTTGATTATTTTGTAAAATTAATTAATTTTATTCTTATATAAGTATGAGCACTCTAAAATTTATTTAAAATAAAATTTACCAAGATTTTTTAAATTCATATTAATATTTTCAAAAGAAAGATGTAACGTTAGAACCGATTTTTTTTAAAAAAAAACATATATTGCCAGAAAATTGTGATCGGAACCGCTCTGGAACCGATGGTTTAAGGGCTGGTTAAGGTTCAATATTTTAAAAATTTTGAACCGGCGGTTTAATGAACTGGTCATGCCTAATTTCAACATGCAAACACTTATTCAAAATTATATTTTGTTCAATTATATTAAAATTTTATTTATAGAACAACTAAGTATTGCTAACAAATATTAATCTTTTATATTTTTCCATCTTTTTACTTACATACTGAAAAATCATTAATTCATTATAATTAACCAAGTAAGTAATAAATTACAATTTAATTGCAAGATGCTCAAATAATGTTTACAAAGGGTAAAAATGTAAAATTTATTACAAAGGTGCAAGATGCTCAAATAATGTTTACAAAGGGTAAAAATGTAAAATTTATAATAATATCATTTTCTTTCCTCCATAATTTTAGGCTTTCCAAACGAAAGAAAATAAAATCCTCCCTTAGATTTTTCTTTCAATGCAAATATAAAATAGAAAATAAGGAAAGAAAATAAATAATGCAATCTTTTAATATTTTTCTCTCTTATTTTCCTTCCTTCTTTATTTTCTTTCTCTTTTTCCCAAACATGACAATAGAGATTGCAACTTTGAACTGATAATTTAAACTTAGCGAATTGTGTTTTTTCAAAATTTCATTACTTTATTTTCCTTTCCAAACATAGTTTAAAAGGTTCTTAATAATAAAAAATTTTAAAGTTGAAGTTTCAATATGAAATGAATAGAAAATCAAGATGTCTTTTAAGTCTTTTTACTTAGGAATATATAATAAAAGATAATTTATTGTTTAAGAGAGAAAACAAGTTGCAGGACAAAATACAAATCCCTTGTCTTGAGAGTCTGCCAACACGTGAACTCATCTGATTCAGTTCAGTGCTATTATCAGACGTCATCCTCATATCATCATGCATGACATCAGCATACCGGTAAACTTTACCTCCCTAAGTGTTAATTCTTTTCTATTCAAAACTTGCCCACCAATTCTTCAGAAATTTCGAAGAATGGATTATGTTTTTTATTCTTCTTAATTAGTTTCAGAGCCAGACATGTACATAATTACAGCAGTAATGGTGGTTGATAAAAATATTTAAAATGTGAGAAATGAGAAATGAGAAATAAAATGTGAGAAGCCTTGGTATGTTCTAGGTTGTATATTAAATGACTGAATAAAAATATTTAAATCTATGAATGCACTATAGTTTGGCTTATTTTATAAAAAAAGTATAATTAAAATAGTTATGCATTTATAAATTTTTTGTGAATAAAAAAATAATTATTAACTTTTTATTAGTATAAAACACATATACAAATTTTGAGTGTGCAATTACTTAATGTGAAATAAGTTTACTAATCTCAATATACATAAAAAAGTGCAATTAACTTAATGTGAAATAAGTTTTACTAATCTCAATAATAGCATAAACATATTAATATTATATTTTTTTTTTGCTTTTTTTGCCGTGTATATAAATTCACTTTTATACTTTGTAATTTTATTTTTGTGATATTCTGAATCATGTGAATGACCTATTATGCATGTAATTTTATAAATTTTGATAATAATTTTTACGCTAATATTAATTGATAATATGACCGACAGCCCAGTTGAAGAATACTCCTTAAGTAATAAAAAAAAGCAGGAACTCCATTCGCACGCGCCACACCCACCAAGCAATAATAGGAACCTTCTCTTCAATTTCCAGTGCTTGCTTTCCCAGTTTCACTTATTTATAAGCAGAGTACAACTCCCTCATTCCCTTCTCATCAATATTGCTTCTTGATATTGATCTTGTCCGAAAAATTTCTTCATTTTGTCGTGCCAATTATATCACTTCGAAAATATTTCTACTGCTAGATCTTGGTCCAAAACACCCAACCATGGCTTTATTCTTATTTTTTGGTTGAAGTACCGAGAGTTTTATCCCTTCACAGTGCCTCGCTTATTGTCCTTGTACGCTTCATTTTCCACTTCTTAATGCTCTTGCGGTAATGTCCTTGTACGCTTCATTTTCCACTTCCTTAATGCTCTTGCGTAATGTTTACCATGAATTAGTACCCAAGAAGCTCGAGACTTTTCTTGTCTCAAAATTCTTGCTCTTCTTCTCTCGTAGAAAATCATCTCCTTCTTATGATAACTTCATAATTGATGATTCGTGGGACGGTCTTGATCGCAACAAACTCATAGACGCAGCAAGATTCTACTTGTCTTCCAAGATCGGCCCTAAAAACAAAATTATCAAAATTGGTAAGTTTAGAGGGCAAAAGAATGTAACAGCTGCCTTAGTAGAAGGTGAGAAAGTTGTTGATGTCTATGAAGGGATAGAAATTACCTGGCAATTTGCAAAGCAAGAAAACGACGATCGATCCAAGAATGATAAATTCTATAACAAAGGTTATTTTGAACTAAAATTTGAAGATCAATATAGAGAAAAAATCTTTAATGGTTACTTAAACCATATTCTGGATACTTCCAAGGCCATGACAAAAGGCGAAAAGGTTTTAAAGCTTTATACAAGGTCTCGCGGTGGTTGGGATTCCATTGATTTTCGACATCCATCGACATTTGATGCGCTAGCGATGGATCACAATCTAAAGAAGTCTATCATAGATGATATAGATAGGTTCTTGGCAAGGAAAGACTACTATAAGAGAATTGGAAAGGCTTGGAAAAGAGGATACTTACTTTATGGTCCTCCTGGCACTGGAAAATCAAGCTTAATTGCAGCTATGGCTAATTACCTCAAGTTTGATGTGTTTGATTTGGAGCTGGCCAATATTACCTTTCAAGTTTTGAAATATGTGTTTTGATTTGGAGCTGGTCCAATAATTACTTGTGATAGACTTGATTTGAGAAATAGCTATGCTGGATTATTTGATAGTTTAAGTCCCATAACTGTGATTGACCAGACATAGATTGCAATTTTCACTACTGTGCATAATCGATCTATAGAATCAGGAATCCTGATGATTCTGGATGATGAATTCCTTTTATGTCAAAGGTTATTTAGTATATCATGTTCTGTTTTATGGTCTATCTCTCTACATACTCTGTGTTGTTGATACTTTTATTGTTAGAATGTTGGATTGGTTAAGAGAGCGTAGGTTTTGTTTCTCTTAATTTGGATCATCAGCAATTTTTTCGCTCTCTGGTTACTGCTAAATTGTATTGATGGATTGTGGTCAGCTGTTGGAGAAGAAGGATAATAGTGTTACCGACAAATCACAAGGAAGTTTTTGGACCCAGCATTGCTTCGTCCTGCAGATGGATATGCATCATTCAGGCGATGTCATATGTACCAGTGAAGGATTTAGAGTTTTGGATGTACAATTAACCTTGGAATTAAAGAGGCATAAACTGTCTAAAGAAATTGATAGAGCATAAACTGCTTGAAGAAATTGATGGGTTGATACAAAGTGCAGAGGCCACTCCTGCTTCTTTGGCTGAGGAATTATTGAAGAGTGATGATCCTGATGTTGCTCTTGGAGAAGTACTCAATTTTCTTAAGCAGCAGAGAATTAAAAAGGATAATGAAGATAAAATTGTAGAAGAAAAGGTAAGCTCTGTTTAGTGAATCTAATTTTGTCTTTCCCTTTTTTTAGCGTAGTTATTAAGTTTTTATTAGGAAAGAAATGTCCAGCCTTTCTCCAATGACTACTTGGATTCTCTACAGTTGGAGGTTTATTATTAAGTATTTTGATGAGAACTTACAAATTATCTTGTAATTTTCACTTTTACTAGATTTTTTATTATCTTGTAATTTTGTAAAGAGTTTTGCATGGCCTATAGTATTATTTCGTCACATAAAAATCTTTAATGAATTAAAAAAATTATTTAATAGTAATTAAGCAATCATTTTGTTTTTAAACTAAATAAGAATTTTTTTACCTATTATTGTATAGTTGGTTTCTCTTGCATTCTAGCATCCAATAGCTAAGTTTTAAACAATAAAAAAAATCTAATGGTTTTAAATTATTCAGCCAAGGATGCAGAATTATTAACATTCTGTATGCACTTGTAGTTTGTTCCCTAACTATAGTAGATAATTCTCATAATTAATCTTTTTCTGACAGATATCTAATTATTTTAATATTTTTTTTTATAATATTTGCAGCATTTCTTTTTTCAATTTTACTAAACATACATATTGAGAATGCTACATAATTTTAATTATTTATTTAAAATTCAGAAAAAAAGAAATATAATAATCCCAAATACATATTTCCTAGGAAAATTGTGTGGATTCCATGAAAGTTTTAAATTGTGTGGATTCATGAAAGTTTTAATTTGTCAATTGTATATTCAAAATTAAAATTTTTACTAATATCCAAAAATATTTATATAAAAACAAAATTACGAGCCTTATAAATTTTTTCTTTTACTGTTTAATGGCAAAAAGAAAAAAAATAATAATTGCATTAAAAAGCTGACAGGAAACACAGCCTTACAATACAATATTTAAAAATAATTTTCTTTTATGGCTATTAAGTCTACATTCCCCAGTGCTATGTCCTCGTGTGTCCTCAAAATTGAAGGAAAGTATACTTGAAGGCATGATAGACAATGAATGTTTGTTATGGTAATATAATAGGAATTGTACGTGCTTTATGCATAAATTTTCACCCGAATTTTACGTGTTTAATTTTATGACACCCTTAATTTTACAGAGACCTATTATATTTTTGAAATTGTTCATTTTAATAATAATCCTGCCCCTTGTCATATATAAATTTCAAATGCTGAATTGAGAGTGTTGCCTGAAATATTGTGTACCTGAATTATTGAAAAAGTAAAGTTATTTATGTTTTCTGATATCATTATTGAAAATGACCAAAAAGTCATAAAAGAGAAACAAAGTTTGGTTGTTGTCATTTGCAAATTGACGTGTACTGCTAAGTTCTTCGAAGATTCCCATTTGCTAAAGTATAAGATAGAACTCAATTTTGAAAAGGTAGCAACCACCTTTTTGGAAAATGTTACAATAAATCAAAGAAAATGATTTTTTTTTTTTTTTGTACCAGAGTTACATTTTTTTTTGTACCAAGAAGTTTAACATGAGACCTGAATAGGACTGGCCACTGTGAAAAGTGGTTTCAGAATTAATACACCACTGGTCAATGACCTTTTTTTTTTTTTTGTACCAGAGTTACATGAGACCTGATGGACTGGCCACTGTGAAAGTGGTTCAGAAATTGTACCACTGGTCCATGGCCCAATTCCCCCTTTTTTTTTAAAAAAAAAAACAAAAACAAGAAAAGAGAGAGCTATGCTTTAAGAATTACAAGAAACACCCACCAAATCATGTAAAATTCATGATCAAGAAGATAACGAGTGCCCATTGTAAACTTGCTAGCCAATTTTGATGGCTGAATACATAATTTAATCTATTTTCTAATTTTAATTTTGTAGTATCTTGAACTTTACAAACGATCTGTCGGCATTTAAACTTATAAATTTTAATAATACTAGACACATTTCGACACAATATTCACAATTTTTAAATTTTTTTGATTTTTATCTACAAAATATCAATTTTATATATAGCTAGCATGACTATTTGGAACAATAATTTTCATAAATTTCAACTTTTTAATATATGTTTAGTTGATATAATTTTACAAGTTGAAGTGTTAAATAAAATAATTAAAATTTTTATTTATTTAATAAATATAATTTATAAATTGAAATGTTTAATTGGTGAAAGTAAAAGTTGATGATGCCACGAGATTAAAATAATTCAGAGTGAATTTATTTATAGGGCCCAATTTCAACAAATAAACTATACATTAAAAAGTTTCCTTCCCTAAATATATGGTTTTTAAAGTGTCATTTTAATAAAGTAGTTACATAAATAAAGATTTAGAATATTACTTCCATTCTATTCATTTTTTTCATACGTTTTGAGATTTTACAAAAATTAAAAAAAATATTAAATCACCAATTTTAGAAAAAATAAGAGTAATTGAATAATACAAATAAAGTTTAGTAAAAATATCTAAAACGGTGGATGGTTCTTGGGGTTTGGGGAAGGCGGGTCTATTTTTTAATGCGGATCAGATTAGGGCAATTTGGTCTCGTGTTATTTCTTAAAGGCTTACTATTTTCTTGTGTACGAAAAAAAAAATTTATCTTGTCTCTAGTAATTTATTTGGATAAATTATTATTTAATTCCTGGATGTTGTCCTAATTAATATGCATGTTCCTTAAAATAAAGAAAAAAATGAAAATCTTTTCACATTTGCTCCTATAAAAATAGTTATTCTGATCAAATTATGTCAAAAGAAAAGACGGTTTAAATCGAAACATGTTTCGACTATTTGTTAATTGTTCTTGAAGAGTTGAGACACTTTCATAACGGTAAGGAAGGAGAAGGGCCTATTCATTAAAAAAACTACAAGACTAAAAATGTAATTTCAAGTGTATGAAATTTATAGAGTTTTGAATAATTAGGAAGTGAGTTTAATTTGAAATGGTGTACTTGAATGTGTAGTTAAGAGGCATTGGTTGAAATTATTTGGAAACTGTAGGGAAAATTTTAGTTAGAAAGAAAAATTTACAGCATTTTCCTCACGAGTTCATTCATTTTCAATCTGACTAAGGCACTCTTTGGATAAAATTGGCTATTTCAATAGCTACACAGAAATTATAAGCTCTTTTAGAATCTGTTCGACAATATTAATTATTGTAATAGCTGTTAGAACTATTAGCTATTTTGCAGTTAGCTGTTTATTTAGCGGTTTAAATTAGAAATATTCAATAAAAAAAGATAAAAATAATTGTTTTTTATTTTGAGAGGATAAAAATAATTGTTTAACTTATAATGAAATTAGCTAGCGAAATTCAAAGAAAAAAAAATAATGGTATGATTTTCAAAAAACAAAAAATTAAAAACTAAACTAAAAGCTAAACATTAGAGATAATTATATCTTTATTATCTAAATTTTTCATTTTTTTTCATTTTGGTGTCTAAAGGAAAATGTTATCAATTGAGTACTTAAATTTTTAAAAATTTACAATTACGTGTATCAAGTTGAACTGGCTAACAAAAAAACATGATTATATAATTGTAGACCTTATTCTTTTAACACATGGCAACTGACGTGGAGACAAAGAGCTCCAAAATTGCAATTCAGCGGCATGAGTAGATTCTATGTGGACATAAATATGAATTTTCTATTTTGTCCTTAAGAATACCTAAGTCTCTCATTCCTCTGTTCACATCTTTTCATTTCAAATCAATTCCTCTGCAACCTCAGATCTACTCACATCCTCTCAAATCCTCTCTAACACCATGGAAGTCGTTGCAAAAGCAAAAAGAAAAACAACAAAGAAAGTCACGGAAAAAAAAAAAAAACAAATTCATCTAATATATGTAACTGTAGAATAAATCAAGATTATGAAAAAAAAAAAAAGAAAAAGAATCTTCCACATCTAGAATTCCTTGAACTCAAATTCATCTAATACATGAAAATTGAATCCTAATAAAACAAAACCCACAAACTTATACTGATAATTTTCCAAACCGAAGCCTTTTTTTTTTTTTTGTCTTACTTTCATGAAGAAATTAAAAAATATATATATATATTAGAAAGAGGAAAAGAGAAGTGTACCATCAGTGTTCAACGAAAGAGATGAGCATATATTGGATTAAGGTCGTCAAATTGGATGAGCCATGGAGCTGGGTGTTTTAACGCAATAGGCAATGCAGTAACGAATGATTAAGGGAATTAATCAACCAGATTTAATAAACACCTAATCTAACACCTTCAAGGACCATAAGAGGTGGCCTTAGAGATTAAGCCACCACTTTCTCTGTGAATCGAGTAATTTGTAGAGGATTTCAAGGAGAATCTCATCACTTAAAAGAAGTGTACGATCGATTTTGGAGAAATTGGGAATTAGGTTTAGGTTTTGGTTTTGGAATCTTTGGTGGGAGTATAAGCATCGGAGATAGACCAGAGTTGCATTGCAAAGACCATGTGTTTTAAAGGTTTAGTATTCCTGAGCCACATGTTTGACCAGCTTGGTCACCCCTTCTTCAATGCCGAGTTAAGATATGTGGTTGCTTTCTTTGATGAAGTTGCAACCACCTATACCTGGCATGGTCGGTTCATTGAACTGTCAGTTTCGGTTCATGAAACCTGCGGTTCGATTTTTAAAATATTGACTCTAAACCGGTTTTTGAATTACCGATTCCAGTTCTAGCTGATTTCGGTGGGATTTCGATGAACCGACGGTTCTGATCACGGTTTTCGGCTATATGTGTATTAATTTTTTTAAAAAAAATAAAAATTCAATTCTAAGGCATCTTTATTTTAAGAAAATTAATGTGAATTTTAAAAATATTAGTAAATTAATTTTACAAAACAATCAAATATAAATTATCATTTTATTTTATCTAATGTTATTAAATTATTAGAAAAATTCTAAAAATGCTTCAAACAATGTCATTTTGAACTAAGTAAAATATTTAAAAGGAAAAAAAATGCTAAACTCCCATTTGCATTAAACAATACAATTATATACTAAATTTTATAAAATAGGCCCGCGCCCCCCCCCCCCCCCCTCCCTCCCCTCCCCCGCCTCCCCTCCCCCTTCCCACCCGCCCCCCCCCCCCACCCCCACCCCCCCCCCCCCACCCCTCCCCCCGCCGCCCCCTCCTCCCCCCTCCCCTCCCTCCACCCTCCCCTTCCCGCCCCCCGCCCCCCCCCCGCGCCGCCCCTCTTCTCCTCGCGCCACCCCCCCGCCCCCCCCCCCTCCTTCCCCCCTGTGAATCGAGTAATTTGTAAGAGGAGAGGGAAAGGAAGAATCTCCATCACTTAAAAGAAGTGGTACGATCGATTTTGGAGAAATTGGGAATTAGGTTTAGTTTTTGGTTTGGAATCTTTGGGGGGAGTATAATCATCGGAGATAGAACCAGAAAGTTGCATTGCAAAGACCAATGTGTTTTAAGGTTTAGTATTCCTGAGCCACATGTTTGACCAGCTTGGTCCCCATTCTTACAATGCGAGTTTAAGAATATGTGGTTGCCTTTCTTTGATGAAGATTGCGAACGCACACTATACCTGGCATGGTCGGTTCATAAATGAGACTGTCAGTTTCCGGTTCCATGAAACCTGCGGTTCTGATTTTAAAAAATATTGACTCTAAACCGGTTTTATTGAATTACCGATTCCATTCTACTATTTCGAGTGGGAATTTCGATGGAGAGGCCGACGGTTTCTGATCACGTTTTCCGGCTAGGTGATGTGTTATTAATTTTTAAAAATAAAAATTCAATTCTAAGGCATCTTTATTTTAAAGAAAATTAATGTGAATTTTTAAAAAATATTTAGTAAATTAATTTTACAAAACAATCATATAATTATCATTATATTTTATCTAATGTTATTAAATTATTAGAAAATTCTAAAAGCTTTGCAAACAATGTGCATTTTGTAACTAAGTAAAATATTTAAAAGAAAAAAAAATGCTAAACTCCCATTTTGCATTAAACAATCAATATAATTTTGAACTAAGTAAAATATTTAAAAGGAAAAAAAATGCTAAACTCCCATTTGCATTAAACAATACAATTATATACTAAATTTTATAAAATAGGCTAATCGATTATAATTTTAAAAATAAAAAAAATTTTCGGTTCAAACCGGAACTACCGGTTCAGTGCTAGTTCAAGTTTAGAATTTAATATTTACATGAACTTTAACTACCTCTTGAATTACAGGTTCTAGTTCAAAATTTTGAACCGACGGTTTCAGTTCGTCTACAGTACGGTTCGATTCTGGTTTGATTCCAATTCAACCGGTGGCCATGCCTACCTATACAGTTGATCGAAAGGGTAGATTGAGAAAGAAATTATTAGGCAACAAAGGTTAAAAAGGTCAATTTCATCAAATTCCACGTCAGATTTGGCTTGTGTGGCATTTGAAACTCTTTTTTTTCTATGTTAGCTACCACATATTTAAAAATTGAGTCCCACGAATGTATAATCATGTTTCCTAGTTAGCAAACTCAATCAAAGGCACTTAATTATAAAATTTAAAATTTAAATGTTCATGTACTCAATCGATACGATTTTTCATTTTTCGTTCAAACACAAAAATAACATTTAAAGTTTCATAAAAAATTTCCTCAAATTCTAAAAGCTATTCTAAAAGTATTAAAAGCTAGTCTAAAAATTGTTACCGAATGAGACCGAGACCGAGTAACGTGTTATAATTCTTTCCCTCAAATCCCAAAACATTAGTATAAATACTACACCCAATAATATTAATAATAGAGGTAATAGTTTCACTATGTTAAAAGTCGATCACGAACTCAATTAGAGCGAAAATAATGGAGGATTGAATAAGCTTCATAAGTTTAGGCCCGCATCAGTCAACATATATAAGATATTGGGTTAGGGTTATTTTCCTTAAATCTCAATAAGCTATAGCCCTATAGCTAGAGCGATCCAGTCCAATTCCTATGTATATATATAAAGAGACTACAGTACGTCAGCAACCAAAACCCTAAATTTTGCTGTTTCCTCTCTCTCTAATCTTCAAAAATGGCTTCCTTCGTCCTTGAAATTCTTCGTTTAGTTCCTTCAACATCTTCTCTGCTATCTCTGTACGCCTCATTATCTACCTCCTTAATGCTACTGCGAAACGCCTACCATGAATTCATTCCACAAAAGCTTGAATCTTTTGTTAGCACAAAAATCAAGAATTACTTCTCTCGCAACAAAAATCAGCCTTCTTATGACACTTTTATCATCGATAATTCTTGGGAAGGTCTCTCTCGTAATAAGCTTCTTGACATAGCAAGATTTTACCTTTCCAGCCGAATTGGCCCGAAAAACAAAATAATAAGAATTGGGAAGTTTAGAGGGGAAAAAAGCTTCACGGCTGGGTTAGTCAAAGGAGAGAGGATCGTTGATGTTTTTGAAGGTGTAGAGGTTTCATGGTTCTTTGGTGATCGTGAGATGGAAAATGGTGGTGGTGAGTTTTTTGAAATATCGTTTGAGGACAAGTATAGACAGAAGGTTTATTATGAATATTTGAATCATGTTATAAATACGCATAAAGCAATGACAGAAGAAGAAAAGATTTTGAAACTATATTCAAGGACTGGTAGACATTGGGAAAGTATTGATTTTGAACATGCAGCTACATTTGATTCATTAGCTATGGATTATGAGTTGAAGAAAGCTATTATGGATGATTTAGACAGGTTTTTGGGTAGGAGAGACTATTACAGGAGAATTGGTAAAGCTTGGAAACGTGGTTACTTATTATATGGTCCTCCTGGAACTGGGAAATCAAGTTTAATTGCTGCAATGGCTAACTACTTGCATTATGATATTTATGATTTGGAGCTTGCAAGTATCCGCTCTGATTCGGATTTGAGACAAGCAATGCTAAATGTAGATAGAAAATCTATAATTGTGATCGAAGATCTAGATTGTAATTCAAAGGTTCATGATCGATCAAATTCCGATGACTCTAACTCTGATGACTCCAACGCTTATGCCTCGGTTAGTATAATGAACTTATCAATTTAATGGCTCATAAATTTTTTCTGAAATTGCATTCTAATTGATTTTTTTTTTTTTTTTTTTTTTAGATGGCTCATAAAATTTTTTCTGAAATTGCATTCTAATTGATTTTTTTTTTTTTTTTTTTTTTAGGAAGAAATTTCAACACTGCACTCATCACTGCTCTTTTTTTTTTTTTTTTTTTTGGGAAGAATTTCACACTCTCATCACTGCTCAATTGTGTTGATGGGTTGTGGTCGAGTTGTGCGGAGGAGAGAATAGTAGTTTTCACAACTAATCACAGACAAGTTTTGGATCCTGCATTGCTTCGTCCAGGAAGAATGGATATGCACATTCACATGTCTTATTGTACCAGTCAAGGATTCAGAATCTTGGCGTCCAATTATCTTGACATAAAGGACCACCATCTATTTGAAGAAATTGATGGCTTGATTCAGAATATGGATGTTACTCCTGCCTCCATAGCTGAGGAATTAATGAAAAGTGACGATGCTGATACTGCTCTTGAAGGAGTGCTCAATTTCCTTAAGCTAAAGAAGAAAGATAAAGATAAAATTGAAGAAGAAAAGGAAGCTGATCTCTGTTAATTAACAATCTCGTTGTATCTATCTTTCCTTGATATGCTCGTGTTAGGTTTTATCTCCTTTTTTTTTTTTTTTTGATTTAACTGATTTAAATAAATTTAAAGTACACATACTTTATTTATATAAATAAAATTTTAGTCAACTTTGGATTTTATAAAATTTAATTTACTTTTCGAATCAATAAATTGTATAAGTTATTTATACTAAAATACGGCTCAAGTAATTATAGTTATGTTTGTTTCATTTTTTTTTTATTGGCAAATAAACATTTTTAATTTTATTAATTAATATGGTCCAACAAAAATTTAATATAACCAAAAGCAAAATTTTGTGAGGCATTCAGTGTGCTATCAAAATTTCTAGAAATTTTATTGATTTCATTAAAAGCCGCAGATTTGCTACACTTAAATTCAAATTTCAATTCATAAAATCCTTCCATTATATCCTTAGAAACCTATAAATTCAAGCTTAGCTCAATAGGGATTACGGCGGAATCTTAAAATGCAGAGATAAAATTGAATTTCCACTACAAAGAAATAATGAATTACCAACAAAATTTACTGACTGAAAGTTAGCAACGAAATTTTACTAATCAAAAATAGAGATTAAATTAAAAAAATAACGACTAAAATTAGTAGGTATTTAGTAGGTAATCCGCGACTAAAAATATTCGGTAGGTATTACGTAAGAAAAATTGGGCCGATTCCAACCGAGTTAATTTAATGAAATACTGACATAAATAACAAATATTACCGATTGATTTTCACTTTATAATATTTGCTACTAAAATTAAGGATTTGAGCAGCCTAACATATTCTTTCTTCTTTTTTCTTTTCTCCATCTTCTCTGGTTTCCAATAGCTGCGATGTAGGTAGAGCCTAAACTCAGCCATTCTCTATCAATTATAATTATACCTCCATTTCCGTTATCTAATGTTGATGAGTTACAGAGTTATCTGACTGTCGATATCCATTATACCTCCATCGATCTCTTCCTCTAACTGAAATTGCAGGTACTCTTGACTGCTCTTTGCTTCTTTTTTTTTTTTTCTTTTTTTTTTAGTTTTTCCTTTTTTTTATTGTTTCTATATGCTCTCTAACTTCTGAAATCCCTCCATTTTTCTTTCTATATCTGAATTTTGTGATTTGAACAAAAAATTTATAGGGTTTTTAGGGACCCCGCTACATAAGGGAAGATAAGGGACACAACCCCAAACTCATCCGCGAATCACAATGTCATCGTTTCTATTACACCTTACCCCATTGTAAGACATGACATGTTGCCCGTAATATGTTTATCAAGCACTTAATTTATATAAGAACTCAAAAAACATACTACAATGACTTAACTTTTCATATTCAAAATGCATGTTTGGTATTAATTTCAAATGCTATTTGAAACATTTTAGATATCTTAAGACTCACTTTTATAAAATCTCGAACTTAATAAATTCCCTTTTTATAAAAGATGTAAACATTCCACTATTTAAAAATTTTAACTAAAAGTCCATATAAATACATATTTACATATTTAAATACATTAGTGAAACCATTACCCATAAGCCCATTAGAAAAAGGATTACATGCTAGATTATTCATTTAAAGTCGTTACTAAGACAACAAAATAGTTTTAAAGGTAACTGAACCATTCAAGTGCTATATAATTTATATCAGTAACTGTAAATTCATAAAACTTCAGTTGCATTAGTATGCTCAAAATATATATATATATATATATATATATTAGTATGATTCCAAATATATATAGTATAATATATTATAATATATATATATATATATATATATTAGTGACCAGTCTCTACTTTATACATCATACAAATTCCAATAAAATTATTCATAAGGCAACGACTACATCAGTAGCTCACCCTTCGAAAGCTATAGAAAGAACTCACAACTCCGTCGGACTTACTCTCCTACTTCTCCTTTCCTTTTTTCCTGCGATAGTACAGAGAACAACTATGCTAAGCATAAGGTCTAGTAGTGCACTATATAAATTACATAATATAAATAATAATTCACCATTAGATATTTAAGACTTAAGTGTGAAAAAAATTTTCAACATTACCTCTTTCAAGGTCGATGCTTATCATTTGCTTACTGAAAAACAAATTAGTTAGATAAAAATAACAAGTAGTCATCTCAATTAAATCACATTTATTTGCTTACTAGAAATAATGAACTTATATGGAGATATTATGGCATAATGATACAATCGTCAATCAATAGACTTGTTTGCACAGTTTATGCAGACTCAATCTGAAGGGCTATTAGTGTCTAATGTGCACATCTAGACCTGCTATCTACAACCTCAATCTGTGATATGATTTCAATAGAAGAGGGAGCAATCTACAATCTCAACATGGAGGCTCAACATGGAGGGAGAATTTTATATCAATTACAATATCAACTTCAACTAATGAAGTGATATCGGCATGACAATAACCATATCATTATATCAATTTCAACAAATTAAGTGATATCATGTAATAACCATGTCATGCATTTAGCTGTGAGCCTTTTAAAACATCTCTATTATAAATCAATCATTAGCCATAATGAGCAGCATTTCATTTTGCTCAAACATTTCTATATCCATTTAAATGAGTATATGTAATTAATCAAAATCAAGATATTTCAAATCATTGAAATATAATAATAGTCTTTTTAATTAAAAAAGTATTATATAATAATAATAATAATAATAATTACTAAAATGAGTAATATGTAATTTAAATTCAAATCAAGATTTTCAAATCATTGGAAAATAATAATAATAAGATCTTTTTAATTAAAAAAAAGTATTAATAGTAATATAATATATAATAAATTAATTAATTTTTATATAATATATAATAATATAATAATATAATATAATAATATAAGAAATAATAATAATAATAATAATAAGAATAACCATTTTTACCATCAAAGCGACGTAATTGTAAAAAGTTTAAATTAACCTATGAGCAAAACTATGTTACTCATGCTAATTATCATTCAAATTCTAGTTGTATCATAATGTAGTCAAACTGATATGAAATAAGTGGATCTCATATATGGGCCAGAAGTCTGTATTCTTAATTATTGTGAACTCTATCTTTCTCATCTGTGTAGAACTCTGTTGAGGTTCCACTTATCTAACTATATATATATGTGGCTTCTCATCAATAATAAATATACTCTCATATACTCTCCTTATTCTCCCTATTCTCTCTTTACTTCTTTCTCTATTTTATTATTATTTTATAACACGTTATCAACACGATTCGTTCTATCACTACAATTTCGTTCTACTGCTTTGAAAAGAATAATTTATGGTTCGCAACAACTAAAATTAAGGTTGGTGTTTGCAAAGAATAATTTATTGTTCGCAACAACTAAAATTAAGGTTGGTGTTTGCAAAGAATAATTTATTGTTCGCAACAACTAAAATTAAGGTTGGTGTCGACAACTAAAATTAAGGTTGGTGTATTTCGATTTGTTTCCATTTAAAAGGTAATTTTTTTTATTTGTTCTTTTTAGAAATGTATTAATATTGATTAATTATTTTGATCATATATAGTTGATGACTAAAAAAAATGATGATGTTATTTTACCATAGTATATAATACGTAAATGCCAATTATAATAATAATAACGTCACCCAAGCCATGGCCTTTACTTAGATCATAAAAGGGTCGAGGGATATCAAATTGCATGTTCTCTTGACTCGTTTGTTAGCTGATCATTTAATATTACAAATAAGCTATACAGGGTTGCTCATCAATTTAATATTTTGATATAGAATATTAATGACTTGTCATATTTGTCATTTATATATGTTATTGACTGCTTGTAGGATTATTATGGCACGCTGAGATTCTTTTTTCTTTTAATTATATGATGATTTAAATAATTTAATATTTTGGAAGTGCTTACAGGTTTCTTACTGGGGTTGTTTTAGTTTTCAAGGACATGTATTAGAGTGATGGTGGCTTATGCTTTTCTTTTTCTTTTTCTTTACTCAATTTATCTTAACGTTAGGTTAGGGGACATAGTTAACTCAATACTGTTATAATTATTTTTATTTTTATTTTTTTTTTGTGATTTTGTTATCCACCATAATTATTTTATTCTATCAAATCTTATACAACGTGTTATACAAACTTCAATTTGTGGCCCTTAATATTATGTGAAATAATTATTTATCATGAAGGCTAAATCTGAAATACATTTATATCCTATAAGTCTTAAAAACACAATTGATAATAGAAATCAAGAATCATATCAAAATAAGGCAATAATTTTCTTTTTATTGACTATTTGATAATTAAACATATGTTTGTTCTTTGGAATGGTTTGAAAAAAAGATATAACAACCAAAAGCTATCATAAAACTGTAAGTTATTTTGATTTAGCAATGTTAAGATTATTATTTTATTATTATAATTATTATTATATATTGGCATATATTATTAATGTGCTACCAATTTTAAGAATTGATTGATTTATTTTTAAATATAATTAAGATATCATCGTTATTATATTTGGAGCTATATTAGCCTTTGAGCTAGAATTGTCAATTATATTTATACTTCGAATATGCTCCTAAAGTAGTAAATATCGAGAGAAAAAGTTTTACAATAAACTCTAAATTTATTCATGTCCTTTTATTTTTGAGCAAAATATTAAACACCAATTAATATTATGAAGCTTGTCCAATTAGATTTTCTCTATTCTCTGAATATTCCTGAAGTGAATGAAATTACACATAATACAGGACATGGGTGTAGTGAAATCCTTCTCTAAAGTTAATGCAATAATATATGATATTGGGGTGTGGACATGAACAATGAAAAAAATATAATTGTCATTGAGAATATCAATATGATCACAATTGAAGTAATGATCTTAACAATTATGGTGACCACATAATTAAGAATAAAATTTACCACCTGAAATGCTACAAATAAAGTGGCATATATGTATGTTGATTATGTGCTTGTTGTAGACCAAACTATTGAAAGATAAATTCGACTTTGGTAGTAAAAAAATATTTAAAAGCTCTAAAAGAGTAAGTATTACTACCTAGAGGAATGAATTATATGCATAA